GCACACACACACACACACACACAAAGACAACCCCGTAACAATATGCGTTTTGTAACGCTGTTACACAGCACAAATCGCATAAAAAGTAGACTTTTATCGTTGCTGGTGAAAAAATGTCGCGTGGCAGTCGATGGTAGCACAGTGCCTGTTGCAAACCAGCGCAAACGGGGTAAATCGTACCTCAGCCCGCTATCTACGGGGACGACCTTCGACTCTTGCTACCCGGGGCAAGCAACTCATCCAAGCTCCCTCCACGAAGCAGTGACAATGTCCACTGCGAAATGGGCTACCGCTAACAAGTGGCTACCGATGACCACCAGAAACGACGGCGAGAACCCAAGTAGCACAGTATGGACACAAAGCCGGAGGGGAACTTTATAGCCCATAAGTAAAAGTCCGCAGTTACTGAACCTCGGCTCTTGACTTGATCACCACTGTGGGGACGCCCTAGCTTCTCTGCTTACACTATTTCACCGCGCCGCTTGTCGGCAACGCTTGGCATTTTGCCAGCAATCGCTAAGCAGTGCTCTGTGGCGCTAGTAGCTGGATACCATGGTCAGGGATGGGAGGTGATGGTACAAGTAGGGCCAGAAACTGGTGGCAGGATAGAGAAGAACAAGGACTATGGGATGCTGGGATGATCTCTAACTATAGGATGCTGAGCTGATCCCGGTTTTCTAAGGTAAAAAAAATAATTAGCCAACGCACGGGTTGCCTGTGCGAAGATGTGTTTTTTGCATAGCTTCCCGCATATTCTTGTCGATAGCAGTACTGTTTTCCGGCAGATGCTTCTAGCTAAAAGAATTTCAGACTGGTCGCCAGGACTGTCGGGAAACATCCCTTTAAAACTCCAGTTTTCTAGCTTCTCAGGTTCCCGAGTTAGCAACTTACCCGAATAAAACTTTAACAGGCCTATATGTGGGGATGACTCATACCCGGGGGCTAGGTTTGAACTCATTAATACCTATATGAATGGCGGACATTCGCTTAAAACTGCAGTCTTCTAGCTTCTCAGGTTCTCGAGTTATCAACTTACCCAGGAAAAACTTTGGTGGCCCGTACGTGGGTACCACGCATAGCCGAGGGCTGGATATGAGCTCAGTGAGACCTGAATGGACGAGAAATATTCTCTTAAAATTACATTCTTCTAGCTTTTCAAATCCTCAAGTTAGCGACTTACCCGAAAAAAGTTTTGGCGGGCCCGCACGTGGGTACCACGCATACCCGGGAACTGGGTTTGAGTTCATCCATACCTACTTGGACGGAGAACGTCCCTTTAAAATTCCAATCTTCCAGCATTTCTGTTTCCCGAGTTAGCAGCTTACCCATAGAAAACTTTGGCGGGCTCGTACGTGGGGGCCACGCGGGCAAGGACGCCCATCTTGGGAATTGGGGCCCGTACGTGCATGTAGATTATGTTCCCAAAGTTTTAGCCCTGTAACTTTTACAGGTCTTGAGATGGGAAATCGGTACAGACGCACACACAGGCACACAGAACACGGACACACAGTAAACCCCTCGCCAATATGCGTTTTCTGCACTGCATAGCTGCAAAAAAGGCATAAAAATAAAACTTATATTTTGCGTAATTTTATGCTTATTTGTTGATAAGCAGGTTTTTTTTGTTGAATTATTTTCAACATGTCTGCAGACTGCATCGTTTCGCCTGTTGCCACTGACTGAGCGGATATTTCGATAGTCCGGTAAACAAGTCGCACATCCGCAGCTTTCTGACTTTTTTCTCAAAAAGGATCGAAACATTTGCTCAGAGAGCTTTTTCGTTCGCTTTGTTCAACTGCATTTGAAACTTACCTAGGCCAGCCTAGCGAATTCAGTGCGCCAAAGTACTGGGGTTGCATTTTGGTGGCATTGCAATGTTTCTTGTCTCCGCATACATGAAGTATATGATGTTGTAGGCCACCGACGTTGAAATTTCTCGGATTTCTTCTTCCCCAATGTTGCAGCGCTATATCAACTTAGGTAGAAAATTTCCCCGCCCCAGCGGCAGTGGTAGTAGTGCTAATTAGGGTTTTGGAGAAAATATGAACAAAAAAATGAAAGAGTTGTAAAGAATTATTAAAGTAGGTAAGAAATGTTTCGGTTCATTAAGTCGTATACATTTCTTACCGTTACCACAGCTAGACCTCGTCAGTACGACGACTGTGGTAACAGTATAATTTAGTGAGGTGTAAGAATTAAATAGATGA